TTTTTTTTTTTTTTTTTTTTTGGTGGAACCGGGGATTGAACTCAGGCCCTTGCGCTTGCCAGGGAAGCACTTACTCCACTGAGCCATCTCCCCGGCCCCTGCAGATGTCTGATTCTAAAAAACTTGAGTTTGTTTTTTGTTTTTTTTTAATTCCCTTGGATGAGGGGAACAGCCGATTTCAGGTTTGAATAGGGGTGTCACTGAACAAGCTGAGCGATGACTTGTGTGTGTTGTGGAGAGACCTGTAGCTCCAGTTTTTCTCCCTAGTGAGGCTGCTTGTTGCTCTAGGTCTTTATCACCGGTGTGTCCCTGGGATCTTGAGAATTGCAAAGGGACAGTTGGGGTCTAAGATTGAGAGGCCGACGTTTTCTTGGTGGTGAGAGTTGAACCCAGGGCCTTGGGCTTTGCCTGGCCGTTGGCCAGCGTTTTGAGTACAAGGTCTATTTTAAGAGCCCTCCGCCAAGGCTGACACCTCACTGTGCTGTCCTCGGTTCTCACATGATGTGCAGACAGGGTGGACAGGAGACCATGAGAGGTGCTCCTTAGCGGAGGACGCGGCAAGAGGGGTCGGCTGACAGCTGTGGGTGCTGTCAGCGCGGAAATTCTCCACGTTTGGGAGTGAGCTCCCCCCATTGCCCAAGGCACCCAAGCCACTTTCCTTGCAAATCAGAAGTTGGTTCTCCATGCTCCTTGGAGAGCGCAGGTGTCTTTGACAGCAGTTGTGGGCTTCTAGATGTTTGTAGGACTCTTGGAGGCCCATCTCCACGCCTTGATTTCAAGTGGAAGCGGCTGGCATGTCCCCCAGGAAGCGATAACGGTTAAGAGTTGGTCATGTATGGCTGACCTGCAAAGGGAGCGACAGCAAAACCATTTTCCTTGTTAGATAAGGTCACTGCCTCGGCGCTGGTCTCATATTTCTTAATTCGTAGTTTTCCAACAAGCACTCAACAATTCCTGACTTGGTGCTGGCATTGGATGCTATTAAGGCATTTAAGTCCTGCCACCCTAGAGCTTTGCGCCCAGCAGCTGGGCCTTGGCCGCTGAACGTTCCCAGTAAGTTGGATTTATCTGGTTGATAGGTCAGGATCGCAAGGGCTTCGCTGCAGAGCCATGGAAAGGGGTCTTAGGCTGGCAGCTATTTCTCGGTCTAGGCTTAAGACGCCAGGTGTTAGAAGGGAGATTCTGGGGCACAGGGCTGAGGGGAGAAGGGTGTTTTAGTGGCACAGTTGCTTGGGGACTAGAGGTTGGCTTCTAGGAGCTGTGCCGAACTACAGCGCAGGCTGCGCTCTGGAAATGCCCCAAAGTCAACCAGGCATCAGAGTGAGTCATGAGCAGCACTCCTTGTGCCCGGCTCCTGCCTGCTTCTCCTTTACCCTCGTTCCCACTGGATAAGGAGGGGGGACACCTTCCCCTGAAATAACAGGTTCTTCTACCTTCCACCTTGGATCCAAAGCCAAGAAAGCAGAACCAAGCCCAGGAGAAGACCCTCCCGAAGCCTTTGCTCAGTGGCTTACGGCTTTTCCACTGTGCTCCAGCTAAATTAGGAAGGTGGGGAGTCCTGCCCTCTGGTACCAGGTACCCAGCACTACTTCAGGAGCTGGAGGGCTTTGCCTTAAGTGCCCCCCAACAAGGAGGGACTTGGTGCTGCCTCTAGGGCAGAAAGAAAGTGGCTTCCCTTTTTGTCTCCAGGCCAGCAGTGTGCTCCATCCTGCTGCCTGGTCTCCACTCCTACCCGGGACTCCAAGGAGGCAGACTCCAGGAAGCCCATTAGTGCTACCTGCCAGTACCTCAGCAGGTGTTGCGAAGCAGCTCAGTGCCGCCGTCTCATTTCCCACCTCGGTAGGGTTTAGGTTGTGGATTAGAAAGGGACAATTAATCTTTTCCATTTGACACAATTTCGTAACAAATATCATTCTCTTTTTTGGGGAGCACCAATGTCAAGGAAAACTCTTGAGACGGGAAGCTCCTGGGTTTGAGGCACAGTGGTGCATGCCTGTGATCCCAGCACTCCGGCAGGCTGAGGCAGGAAGGATCACGAGTTAGAGCCCAGCTGGGACTGTCTCAAAAAGGGCTAGGGATATAGCTCAGTTTGGTTCAATCCTCAGCACTGGAAAAAATAAGGCTATGGGATTTGAGAGTTAAAAGGCAAAATGACACAAAAGATGAAGGGGGTAAGAAACAAAGAGAACGTCTCTTCCCACGCCCACTGCCTAGTTGGCGCCGGAAGCATTGGCTGCTGGTGTACATCTGCAGTCTTCCTTCGGCAGGTGGGGACAGTGGTCCCCTGAAGTTCTTTCACTGCCTCTCCAAGCACAGCCCAGAGGGACTTCTGTCTGCCAGGAAGGGGAGGCATGGTCTGCGCTCCCTTTACGCACGTTTGCTGGGCATGGACCTTTCTGTTGGGCCTGCTTGTGGGCAGTGACCCTTAGCAAAGTCTTCTTACCAGCAGAGTGCCGTGGGCGGGAAGGCTTTCCCCCTAGCTGGAGATAAAAGCCTGCTTTCAACACTCAGTGCTGCAATGCCGGCCAAACCTCCTAGGAGCAGCTGTTGCTCTTGGACTGCACCGACCCAACTCTCAGATCTCAGTAGACCTTGACTCCTCTGCCTGGTGACCGCCTTCACTAGCTTCTCTGAAACTTCAGGTCACTTCCTGAGAAAACTTAGGGATACCTGGAGCTATCAAAACCTGTTTTCTTGGGGTTTTTTTGGTTTGTTTGTTTGTTTTGTGGTACCGGGGATTGAACTCAGGACCTTGCGCTTGCCAAGCAAGCGCTTATTCTACTGAGCTATCTCCCCGGCCCCAAAACCTGGTTTTGCCAGTGCAAGCCAGGGTCCCTCTGATTGCAAGATGTGTCTCACCTCCAAGGTGTGGACAGGCTCCGAAGAAACAAATGACCTTAGCACCTGAAAGAGTTACTGTTATCCTGGAGACCAGATGTCATGGAATGCTCAATGATTTTTGGTGCCACTCTAAATACTCTTGATTTCCTTGCTTCGTTTGGATATGATCTTGATAGAGGAGGTAGGAAGAGGAAAAACTGAAAACAGCAGAGTTGAGAAGACACAATTCCAGGGACCTGTCCAGGAAATGGCTTTGTTTTTGTTTTTTGTTGTTTTGTTTTTGTTTGGACTCTTTGAGCCAGGGTCTCCGGCTCATTGTGGTGGTGGCTGGACTGGAACTCCTCTGTGGCCCAGGCTGGCCTTGAACTCTCGGCAGGCTTCCGCCTGAGGGCTAGAATCACAGGCATGTGCTACCATGCCCACCCAGCAGGCTTACAATCAAACCTATCTCAGTTGTTCTGTTTTGTTCTTGAAGTTCATACAGTATTGCTTTTCTCCACATTTTTTCCAAGGAGTGGAAATGTCTTTTGCTTTAAGGAATGTCCCTGTCCCAGGAGCATGAGAGTTGTTAGGCTAAGAACACGGTGACATCTGACCCTTGCTGAGGCCTGAAGGTCTCTGGGACTGCCTGGGTGTGAGGGGTTTGACTGTCCAAGAAGCTATAAAGCCTTAATCTCCATCTGGCACCTGAGAATGTCAGGGGCTGCTGCAGGAAAGACGAAGCCAGCCTGGAGGAGAGCAGGCTTTAGCCCAGTAGGATGATGTCCCTGTAAGGAGAAAGACACTGCGTATGTGGCGCACTCCTGTAATCCCAGCACTGGAGCTGAGGCAGGAGGATTGTCATGAGTTCAAGGTCAGCCTGAACTGCGTGAGACCCTGTCTCAAAAGAGCTAAAAAAAAAAAAAAGAAGAAGAAGCAGAAGCAGAAGGAGCAGCAGCAGCAGCCAGGTATGGAGGTGCACACCTATAATCCCAGCATTACAGAGGCTGAGGCAGGAGGATTGCTAGAAATTTGAGACCAGCCTAGGCTACAAAATGAACTCAAGGCCAGCTTGAACTGCATAGTGAGACCTTGTCTCAAAATCGGCAAAAAACAAAACAAAACACCAAAAAAGGAAGTTGAGGCAGAAGGATCACAAATTCAAGCCCAGGGGCCGGGGAGATGGCTTAGTAGAATAAGCACTTTCCTGGCAAGCACAAAGGCCTGTGTTCAATCCCCGGTTCT